AATGAACGTTACTCTACTGAACAGTTTGAGAAAAAAATCATCTTCTAATAAAAAAAAATACGCATGAATATGCATTGTCAAAATATGGACAACCACATGAAAATTAGGGGAACAAACGAAAGCGCGATTTTTCAAGATTCAAATAGTGTCTTATATAGACTAGCCAACGACAAATTGAATGGCAAAACAATTTTGATCCAAATGCTTTAAGTGGCCGAGATAAGTAAGTTTTAATTTTCGCTTAACTGTCTGCTATTTTTGAGAACATCGCTTTTTCGTGTCAGAAGAGCGATAGAGTTAAAAATTGAAATGCATATATTCTAAAAGCTGAATGTTTGGACTATCGATCTATAAAAGAAATTTTCAGTTCAACTCATTCCTGTGGTAGAAAATAAGGTTTTCCCTTCAGCCGGGTATTTTCTCAAACTGTTCAGTAGAGTAACGTTCATTTTTTTCCAAGCTCCGCTTTCAATGAAACTTTCAGGAAATGTGCGTCTATACAGCACATGCGTAGATATGCGTAAATACTTTTATGTAAAGTTATGCGTTTTCCAAAAACCCTAAATTTTTTACAAATTTTCCCATCCTTTTCACTTGTAGAGCGCTCTAGCTAAAAAGCAAGGGCATATTCGACATCAGCATGAAAAACTGCATCGAATGATATATAATTTACAGCAGTTTTGAGGAAAAAATTCTAAGTTTTCGTGGAAGGCTAAATTTACGGCAGCACCGTGGTACCGGTGCTTTTATACCGTTAGAAAAGAAAACTGGAGGTCTTTTCTCAGAAAATCGATTTGGAGTTTTTCATATTGCATCCTTAAGAACCTCTAATGAAGGTCTATCTTTCATGGATTCTTACAGAAAAACACCTTAAAATACTCAATGATGTGTTTAACCCAATGTGCGCCTTAAGAAAATTCAAAAGTAAGTTTCAACACATGCATGATTCATTAGATTTTGAGTATTCGAACGAGAACGGATACTTCATTCTTTACGAAAAACTCTAAAGTATAATCAGAATACTCTGTAAACCTACTGATTATTAAATACTTTATAAGATCAAAAGCTACTAATCACATAAATACTTATTGTAGATACGGTAATTACCATAGAATGGATAATGCGGTAAATAATAGATGTGTCACATTCAAATTGTGGCATTTTGATTAACTCCTCTGTTACATTGAAAAATATTTTACCCATTTAAGACTGCAATAATGATGTCAGTTTTTGTATTAACAGTAAGAGTCTTCTAAATACAAATGTTTCTTAAAAGATCAATGTTTAACGCACAGTGTATCCACCATCAATTAGAATATTACTACCAGTTACAAAACTGGATGCATCCGATGCTAAATAAATAACTAAGCCGGCAAGCTCATGTGGTTCACCACTACGATTCATTGGTGTCAAACTATGCCATTGTTGAGTGTAACCTAGTTTTTTTTGCAACTGTTGCTGCCAATTCTGTATTCATATAACCAGGTGATATAGAATTAACACGAATATTATGATGTGCCCATTCAGAAGCAAGTGATTTTGTTAGTGATATAACGCCAGCTTTTGATGCATTGTAAGAACATTGTGGGTGTGGAAAGTTGGCAATAATCCCAGACATTGATGCAATATTAATAATATTACCACTTTTTTGTTTAATCATTTGTCGACCAGCTGCTTGTGAAACAAGAAATACACCAGTTAAATTAACATCGATTAAATGTTGCCATTCTTTTAATGACATATCTTCTGCCGGAGTAGTATATACAATACCAGCGTTATTGACAACAATATCTAATGAATTGTATTTATTAATAATATTCTTGACACATTTTGTAACATCATTTATATTAGTAACATCACCCTGCAAGGTTAATACTTCAAATCCATCAGTAGACAACGTTTTTGCTGCTGATTGTAAACCAGTATTATCCATGTCAAACAGTGCAAGTCGTGCACCAAATTCACCAAGTGCTCGAGCCATTGCAAAACCAAGACCGCGGGCAGAGCCAGTAATAAGAGCAACACGTCCTGTTATGTTAAATAATGTCTTCGCCATGATATTTCAATCAGTACTGAAATTTTCAAGTCTCTAGAACAAAAATGCACAGGTTAGAAAGCTAAAAGAATGTAAATTTTTTTATTGGTAGGACTTTATGAATCCATGAAATTGTGTTTGTTGCAGCTGAATGATCCATTTCAATTTATTATAATTATGAGCTTTCGATTATAATGAAATAAATTAAAATGGATCTCATTCAGCTGCAAGTTATGAAATTTATTTGTACAAGACTAAAATATGTCTACATGTGCTTTCTTTTTTCTCTCATTTCTTTCTTACCGTACCTAGATTTATCTTTATATGAAAGATGTATGCGTGGGTTCTATTTGTGCTACTTCGTAAATGTCACGTCGTCTTTTCTCACATTTGACCGCGTTGCCAATAACACCTACCGAAAATGGCCGCCTATGACAATATATTTTTCCTGTTGCTTTCCGCTGAGTAAAAAAATTCAGTCAATGTCTATATAGATATTCGATTAGATGTATGTATTCTGTTTTCTATCTATCATATACCCAGGTCCAAGAAAACGGCACCGTTAACGGCCCGTTAACTGGTCGTTAACGGTAAGTTAACGTGCCGTAAACGGACCGTTTTTAGTTCCTAAACGGACCGTTTTCAGAACCTAAAACTCGT